GTGATGTTTTTAATTTTCATTAAGTGCAAATATCAAGTAGCTTACTCCAGCTTTCAAAAAATTCCAAAAATAAAATTTTAAATTAAATTATTTGACAATAAACTGACAAATAATACTTGAATAGAATACAACGTATTGAAACAAAATATGAATATTTGTTGCCATAGCAAAATAATGCTAAAATTTTCTTTTTTACAATTAAATAGTCAATTTTATTTTAATTAAATAAGACAAAAAATATCAATTTAATGTTGCTTACGCATAATTTTTTTGTACATGTTCTGCGTTAATAATAATAATTTAAAGTTTACTACTAAAAACTACTGTAAAAATATTAAGTCTTTTGCATTATATTTGATATATTTAAATGCAAGAAAAATATTAAATCATTACGCTTTAAATCCATGCTAGAAAAATGTATCAAATGTGCAATTCGGCTAAGTTATTTTTACACGTATTCTGAAAATGGATGTACGAACACGCGAGCATTTTAAACGCATCCGATCCTTACATTTTTTCTGGAGAGAAAAAACAATTTATCTTATTCAAATAGAATCTGTTTTTAAATGTTCGGGATAAAAGATACGAATGATCGGTGGCAAATAATTATTGATATGCGAATGAAAAAATTAAATATAAATAAAATCAATTAAATATTATAGAATCTCTAGATTATAANGATTCATATCGCGACATGCTTCTGTGCAAGCAGACACGTAACGGGGACGGGTACCTTGACGGGAGGTGCGTCGGACTACTGAGCATGTCGGATTAAAAAACGTCGGACTATCGAGGGACAACTGTACTTCCAAAATCTATTATAAAAGATTTTTTCTATAATTTTTGCCAGAACTGGGATGATTATGATTGGACAATAGTTATCTATTTCTATTCTTGAACCTTTATTTTTGTAAATTAGTATAACTATGTTATGATTTAATATGTTTTGGAAGATTCCTTTCTCACAAGATTTGTTAATTAAGAAACACAAAGGGTTTGCAATTATATCTGCTATTTTCTTGATTATTTCTTTATCTATATTATCAATGTCTGGGGCATTGCCCTTCAGATTCATGATTACATTGAAGACTTCAGAAGGAGTGTTATCTTCCAAAACAAAAGAACTTGATAAACCATATCTTGTAGTTGTTGGTGCTGAGTGATTGAGATTTTGAGTAGAAAGGGCAAAGCCCTTCATAGAATCATAAAAATCCGCATATGCATTACTGATCATGTAATCATTATTCAGTAATCTTCCATTTGAGAGCAGTGATTTTACATTCTTGTCCCCTTTCTTTTTTACTATATTTGAAGGTTTCTTTTTTACTATATTGGCCAAATTCTGGACAAATTTAACATTTGTCCAGAATTTGGCCAATGAACTTATATTGTAGAATAATGTAATAATTCTTTTCTTCAATTCGTACTTTGCTCCTTACTTCTTTAGTCAAATCTTTTATTTCCAATAGTATTCTATTATGTTAATCTGTATTTTTTCCTTTTCTTTCATTTCTCTGAATAGTGATCTTTTCTGTTTTATTAAAGATATGGTATGTTTTGTTAAGAATTTCAATAGGAATAATAATAATCAAACAGGAAACTGTTTGATTATTATTATTTTTGAATTTATTTATTGAAAGGTATTTTTTGATGAATATTGATAGCTTAGATTGTAAGAAATCTCTTAATTGTTCTTTGAAGAATTCTTTTGCATAATAGTAGTTCCAAGAAAACCAGGATTGAAATGCATTATGCAGTAAGTTAATTGAAGAGTTATTTATTTCCTATGCTTCTTCATCTTTATTTATGTCTTTCCAAGGAATGAAAGCAAGTAAAGGCAAGTGATCAGATATTAATTCCTGATGTACTAAACATTCAGTTTCATATATGTTTAACCCCAGGTCAAATAATGAATAAGTACTTCTATCAAATCTTGCTGGTTGTTTTAAATCTGCCATGATTGTACAATTTTCCGAAAGGCATAGGTTTATTAAATCACACATACTGGTGACATTGTCTTTCAGTAAATCAATATTAAAGTCTCCTATTATAATAGTTTATATTTTTTGTATTTATTGTTGTTTTTATAAGAGATCACTGAACAGAGAATATCTAAAAGATTGTTGTAGTCAGTTGCTGGAGATTGATAGATCATTACTATCAAATATTTATCAATTGTTAAGGTAATTATGTCTATGTAGTTTTCCATGAATGTTAATTCAGATATTACATCCTATTTCAAATTCTTATTAATGTATTTTACAATTCCTCTGTGTTGGTTTGGAACTCTCTCAACTTTTTATATTTTGTAGTTTTTTTTTATAGTAGGTGGAGGGTTATATTCATTTGTTTGCATTTCAGCAATTGTTAATATTCCAAAGTTAAAATTGTAGTCATTCAATATTTTTAAAATTTCAAGATATTTATTATTTAAGCCTCTAACATTACAGTAGAATACATATAGTCCTTTTTTTGTTGAAATGTGTTCATTTCTTGTGTCTAAGAACCATTTCCATTAAGAAAATAAAATGTCAATTTACCTTTAGCAATAATGTGTGGATAGGAGACGAGGTTATGTCTTTCTTTATATAGACATTTCCTTTATTAATCCATGTATTGGCAATTTTTCCTTCTTTTTTCAGCATTCTAGTTCTATGAAATAAATTTCTGTAGTAGAGTGTTAAATGATCGCAAACATAAATATTATATTCTTCATTTACAATATCACACTTATTTGTGGTTTATTCGTAATTTTTTATTTTTAATGACATTTGTGATATTTTGTTTTATAGTAGGGTTAACTAATTTTATCACAATTTGTTGTGGTGATTTACTAGCCCACCTTTGATTTTTTTGGCCTGTTTTCACTTGATAAACATTTAATATAATTGATTTATCAAACTTTTCATCCACATGGGTCATTATTCAATCAGTTATGTCTAAATTTAAATAAATATTATTTGAATTCTTGAAGAATGTTTGTGAGTTTTTTGTTTTAGTGTTATATGTATTTTTATTCTTTAAAACAAAAACTTATAAATTTTAAAACACTGTATAAATTGTTTCTCATTATTCTCATAATTTATTATATTGAAATTCTAAAGTTTAGAATCTTATTTTAAAGAACCATAATTATAAAAAAATAAATAAACTGTAAAGCATAAAATGCATTTATTAATTAAATTAGTCTCATAAACTCAAGAACTTTTGATAAGAATCAATTTGGACATCTTCAGATGTACATAATTCAAACATTAAATGGCTTTTTTCAAAAGTTGGCAGTTTAGTAATATAATGCAGTACTACAGTACAATAATTTTTAATACAATTACAACATACCATAAATATGCACATTTTCATAATTTATAATTTGTTTACACAGATACTTGTATTTTGTTACAGTTGTTCTATATTTAATTTTCTGTAATTTCAAATTTAATTTTGTGTTTAAATTCTATCAATTCTATATATTTTTGTTCAAACACAACTACAGCTCATTTGCATTTTGTATTTAAATTCAAATGTAATTCTGTTTGAACTCAACTGCTTGATCTTCAAAAAAAAAAAAAAAAGCCATTTGATGTTTGAATTATGTATACCTGAAAATGACAGAATTGATTCTTGACATAAGTTCTTGTGTGTTTTTGTGATTTTTTTTAAAATCATTTCAAAATATATCAGTTTAACATCAGAAGTCAGAGTTTTTCTTTTAACAAATTCTTTAATACGAAACCTTACTTTTTCATTCCTCTAGATTTTATCCAACAGTCTGAACAGTTTAATTCATATACATACCAATCAAAAGGGATCCCAGATATGTCTTCATTTTGAAGAATTTGATGTGAAGTGTGTTAACTTTGATTCCACTTGACCATTTTCACTGGGACTTTTTTAATTCTTTGATTAGGTCCCAGAATTGAATTCTGTCAGTACATTATAGCAAGGTGGCATATCAATAGTTTGGGTTGTCCCAAACTGTTGGCATGACCCTAAGCTACAGCTCCTTACATCTTTTATGACTGCAGCAACTGAAGAAAATAATCATATTTTTAGCAACATGTAATGAAACTAGATTTTATTTTAACAGTATTTTTAATATTATTAAAGTAAAATAAATATAATTTTTATATATTATATTCTTTCATATTATAAGTTGTATGTGTTATAATTTGGTGGATAAATTTAATTTAGCCAAAGTTTATTCAAACTATTAAATCTAAAATTATTTAGGAATATGTCAAAACTGGACTTCTGACTCAAGGTATTCAATTAGAAGATATGGGAGGTGATATACAAGCTATTCCTATTTCTGCACTCAAGGTATTATGGAATTATTTATTATAATATTTATTAGTGATGACCTTATTGTATGTACTGTACAGTTTAGCATGGAAACAATTTTTTTTTAATCCAAAGGGAACTAATTTAGATCAATTGATTGAAGCTATTTTAATACAAGCTGAAATAATGGAAATAAAAGGAGATCCAAAAGGCTTAGTGGAAGGTGTTGTCATTGAATCAACAGCAAGTCAGCATAGAGGGTAGGTAATTTAATTTCTATGAAAATAATGTTATGGGTATTTATATGAACTTTCAACTATTCCATATTATTATTAAATTAGAAATGTCAGTCTGTAAGAGAAGAATAAAGTTTTGAAATTGAATCATATTGAAAATATAATTCAGAAAAAATCATCAACAAAAGTCAAGTGACTAATCTTTAGATTCTCTAAACATCAAATTAATCTAAATAGAAAATGTTATAGAATGTTCTAAATTGCTACTTCAGTCCCTTCTCATTTAATATAAAAGGAAAGTTTATTTAAAATTTTTTTGATTTGCTTAGTTCTTCAAAATATTAAAAGAAAATTTTTGTACTATTGCTATATTTCTCAACTAAGTTCTAAGTCCACAAATGGTTGGTTTTGAGTAATCAGTGATTTTATCCTCTGTGCATGCATTCCCATATGTCCATACACTAGGAATGTACATCACAATTGTGAACTATCATAAGCAATTAAAGTTTAAAAGTGTGGAATAAAGGCATGTTTTTCTGTATCTCAAACATATATCCATGGACTCATATCTTCTTGAACTGACCTCTTCAATTAATAATATAAAATATATTAGCAGTCTTATAATACATTTTTATTTATCATGAAAGGCAGATTTATATTTTTAGGACATTATTATTTACTATGATGATTATATAGAATTTAATTGTGTAAATCATCATCATCTTAAACATTATTTTTCAAATTAATAAATTACAAATCATATTAAAACAATATAATATAAAACATATGTTTTAAAGTTTTATATTATAATAATTTCAAACTGATATATTTTTATTTTTTGGCCAAGTGAATTCAGAAATTTTTAAACTCAAAATACAAAATTTCCATATATGAAAAATATCAGTCATATTAATATTATGCAACTTTCCTCATTATTTATTTCTGTTTATTCTATGCAATGTTATGAAAAATTCCATAAAAATTACTAGAAATGATGTGTTAGAAAAAATAACCTAAATTCAAACTATGTAAAAGACAGTGAGATTAAAAATCTTAAATTGTCTTATATTTAAATTAGTGAGGAAAAAATATAGATTTTTATGGTTATTTCTTCATAAGCATTTTTTGACTAAATATATCACATTAATATTTTAACATCAACAAATATATGTATAAAATAAATATGTTTGACCTCTTCAAGATCTTTAGATTAACATTCAAAAAAAAAGACACCACTTGAAATTTTGAACATCTAACATTACAAAATTTCAGATGGATGACTGAGGTTCAAATATGAAAAAATACAGCAAAAAATTAACCAGAAGAAATGCTACAGTCTACATTAAAACTGTTGTTGAATATCATGTGTATCCTTGCACCTTAGTAAACCAGCTTGTTCAGGCTTATTCACCTATAATCAAAGGACCAATACACCAAGAAACAGAATAAAAGGTACTATTATTATCATCTAGCTATAAATGTTTCTAAGCCTGATGTTTTTAATAATAATCCAAATTCTCTCTGTACTAAGGATATTCTAAATTATTTAGTAAATATTGTCACATAGATGAAAGATGAACAACAATAACAAGTTGTTGGTAAACACAAAGGGATGTTTATTAACCCACAGAACGTATTAATTCTGCAGCACACAGTACAAGAAAAAAACTTATCCTTAATCTGACAGCTTGTGATTTTATAGCATGAGGGAGCATTCTTGAAATATGCAAATGATAGGGAATTAACAAGCATTCTCAAAACTTTGAGAAAATGAACACAAAAAACTAATTCACCATTGAACAGGTTCGAACTGGAGACCTTCCAATTCATAGACGGAGATGATGACCACTGTGCCATGGCACTTGATGGTTGGGAAAAGTGAACTGTGGCATTATTAATTTAATAATAATTATTAAATTTAATAAATATGGCACATAATGCCTACCTTTAATACCAAATTACTCAGAACTTAATTACCATATTACTTTGAATGTAAGCCTTGGTAGGAGTTTAAAATTGGAGAAAATAATAAAAAATAAAAATGATTTTATGTATGTGATTTGTGTCAATTTCAGGGTATCTTCCTTTTTTAGGCCCCAAGAATGATTTTCTGTTTTTTTTACACTGAAATAACTTTTTCTTTGAGGCTCTTCATGTTCTTTTCGTCAACCGTAAATCTTTTACTGGCTGTGCAATTTCTTTGGCACACAATATAACTTTTCTTTTGAATTCAGCATATGTAAACTGTTTTTCCATTATTGGTGAGTATGGGTAAAAAAAATTTTAATTTGATTTTATAGCACTGTGATCAAACAGCAACTGGATTAAATCAGAAAAGTGTGAACAGGAACGTTTGTTGATAGCAGTTTATACTATCAACGACCATAATACTATTCTCATGCATAGAGCATAAAGCAAAGACCCAATTGCTGAGGAGCAGGAGATAGGAAGAAATAAGAAGTTAAAATATTCACTTTGAATTTAAGCTGTGCCCAAATTTTAGTGTTAAAAATTGGAATAAAAAATGCAGCTTAAATTTGAAATAATACGATATTAATAGTAGCAGTAAAATAGTCCTATTCAATACGGCAATCGTTTGGCTTGCTCTTGTTCAGTTTGACCATTGTGTAATACCATATACTGTATGATAGTAAAAGATAAAAATGCTCATCGTCTCTACAAAAGGAGCCCTACAATGTACCAACTCTTGCATAACAGGAAAGATGAGCAAGATGAACACGATTCCTGAAATTTATAATATACCCATTTGGGATGTACGGTTCAACATGCTAAGAAAATACAAAAGGGCAACATCCCACTGCCTCTTAGTGAGCATAAGATCAATATCAGAAAAGAGGTACACACCACTTCATTAACCATCTATGCTATGGACTCCAAGATTGATGTTAAATAGGACAAAGCCTCTAAAATATGTCCAACAAGCAAGATTAACTGTTTAAAATTCTTGGAACAACTGGAAATTTATCTATGCCAATGGAGGACCATTTGTATCAACTTTAATGACACAAACATAGACATTTGAAGTTTCAGTGTTTTTTTTTTTTTTTTTACTGTTATCTGAAGGACTTGAAGAGGTTGAAAATGTTTGTTTTAAATGTATGTTTTCCAAATTTAAAACATTAGTATGATACATTTAGCCATATCCTTTAGTTTGGATGTACAGAACATTACAAGAATTTTTTGTCAATAATCAATCAACTTTTGAGTTAAAATTATTAACTTTAACTGCACTTACTAACTTATTAACTTTGTGTATGGCTATACATAAAGAAAATATAAATATTTGAAATTTTTGAAAATGTCAAATCAAAGTATAAATACAAATAATTCAGTGATGTACAATCTTTTCGATCTTTTAAAAATATACTTAATATATTTTAAAATGTGCATGTGAAAACAAATATTATGTAAGTGGATAGGAACTGATTTGTTTGCAAAATGTTTCAAGATCTTTGGTTATTTTTTTTTATGTAGGAGAAAAGGAATATGAGCAATTTATTGAAACTGATCAATTGATGGCAGTTTCCAAATACATGTTCTGATCTTTAGTGTTATCTTATACAAAAGATTCTATGATACTAAGAAAATTTGAATTGGAGTCAGTAGTTTACAAATTGTAAAATATTTAAAATATGGAATAAGCTTGCTGATTAATTTTAAATTATCAAATATGTAATGATGATGAAAACTGAAGACGAACAACGATAAGTTGAAATAACTACAGTGAATCACTTCAAGTATCTACATATTTGAAATAATGATGACAGTTAATTAGAATAGTTTAGGTTTTATTGTAGTAAGGTATTAAACTGATTTTTTACATTCAAATACATTTATTTTAGAAATGATTATTATTAAAATTATTTATAGAAAGTTATCTACTGCTCTTATTCAAAGAGGCACATTAAGAAATGGAGCTATACTTGTCGCAGGAACAGCTTGGGCCAAAGTAAGTTGGTTTCGATTTATTACACATTCATTTCAATTAGTATAATTTATTAAAACTCTGTGTTTTGAAATGTCATATTTAGCAACATTATAATTTTCTTCTTAATATGAAACCATGTCTGTCTTTTATTTATTTATTCAACACAATGAAATGTAATTTATACATGACACTAGGCTTTCTTTACATTCTTTATTTCTGTTTCCTTACCGATACGCATTTCATGTCTATACCCCTCTTCTGTCAGCTACATTCAGTTATAAAATACAATGATTTACAATATTATAATCAAAAATAATAATTCAACAAGAGACATATCTTTCAGTACATTACATCTTTTTTTACTCTTGAACCCAATTTTCTTTTTAAAGTTACAAAAGATTAAAAATAATTTTTAATATTTTTGTAATTTTAAGAAAAGCTGGTTAGATACTGTATAAACATGTTTGGAGATTACCGAACTCTCCGAAAAGAAAATTGGGTTCGAGAGTAAAAAAGATGTAACATACTGAAAAGCCAAGAAAAGTGTAGTTGTGGAACTCAAGCCTGGGCATACACACACAGGTCTTTTAAAATGTATTTTAATGTTCCATAATTTATTTAAAATGCTCAATGCCTAAAAAAAACAAAAGGTATGCTTCTTGTTGAATTCTTATTTTTGATATAATATTGTTAATCATTGTATTTTATAGTTGAATGTAGCCGACAGAACAGGGGTGTAGACACGAAATGTGTATTGGTAACCGAACAGAAATAAAGAATGTAAAGAAAGCCTAGTGTCATGTATAAATTACATTTCATTGTGTTGAATAAATAAACATTATAATTTATTGAATTTGTAGACAAAACGAAATAACTTAAAATTTTATAAACTTATTTCATTATTTTTTATTGAGTATACCAATCAAAACCTTGACAATCTAGTAAATAATTTAATGTAAATTATTTACTGCCAGGGTCAGCAGCCTTTTTGTTACTAAGGGTACAATAAAAATTTTAAAAACCATAAAGGGTGCCTCTTATCAGATTTAAAATTTTAAATCATTCTGTGTTTAGATAGTAAAACATAATTAAACCTGTTAACAATGTAAGTTATTTGATTTTAGTCAGCCACCAAGGGGCACTTCATGTAATGGTTATGTTCTGTAGGTCATTTCAAAATCGGATGACTGTTAATTACTGATTTTCTTTTCTTTGACCTGGCAGCCATTTTTAATAAAGTTATTCTCTTTAGCTATATCTGCTAATTAAGTGGTGGAAAATACTTTTAAAAATTTTGGAAATTGAGGGAAGAAATTTGAATTTTTTTATAACTGAAAAAGATCAGAATGTTCCTAGATGGACATTGGTTTTTGGATTTATGTTTCCTTACTAATATCACAATGAAATTAAATAAACTTAATAAGCAGCTTGAAGATGAAAACAAATTGATCACAGACTGTTATCAAAATATGGAAGAATTCATAGCAAAACTCAAACTTTATGAAAATCAGTTAAAATCAAAAACTACAATTCATCAGCCAAAATTACATAAAATTTAATAGTGACAAAAAACATTTTTCTAAATATGCACAAGAAATTAGTAATTTACTAAGAGAATTTCAAGAAATATTCTCATTAATTTTTAAATGTGAAAATCTATTTAATATTTTCTTATGTCAAATTTGTGGAACAAGCTCCAACAAATTTGCAGATAGATTTGATAGACCTCCATTCATCGTCAATTGAAATATATGTTTGAGGCCAATAACAAAGTTCAGTTTTATACAAAATACATCTGTAATGATACTTTCCCTAACCCAAAAAAATGCAATGAGCATTACAGCTGCAATGGGAATACCTACCTATCTTTGTGAATCTTTTTTCTCAAAATTGAAGATTGTTAAATGTAAAAGTCATAATAGATTGACCAATAAAAATTTAAAAAACCAGTTATGTTGTACATCAAAAATACCTCTTGACATTCCAATTTTTTCATTTAATTTTTTAAGCAAGTTTCACATTAAAATTCATACAAAATACTGTATAATTGTATATGTTTTGTTGTAAATAATTATGTGCAGCCCACAGTGTATTTTTATTTTTGGTTTTGGCCCAGTAAACAATTTTGGTTGGATGACAATGCTCTAGAGCAGTGTTTCTTAACAGGGGGCTGCGGCCCCCTGGGGATCCATAAGAAGTTTGCCGGGGGGCCACCAAATTATGCAAAATTGAGGCTATGAAAATGAAACTACAAAGATGAATCCAAAGAATAGATTCAAATATATATGAAATGTTTTAATTCTATTCACAATTAATCTCTGATTCAAAATTTCAATTTGAGAAACAAAATGTAAATTCCTTAATTAAATATCATCTTTTAAAATGAATTGATAAATATCTTTCTAATGATGAAGTTTACATTATAAAATTGTGGATTCAAGATCCATACAACAATTATAAAAATACCAATTTATCATCAGCTGATAAAGATACATTATTATTGATAGAATTAATAAATTATTGTAATTTGAGATCTGTTTTCAAAACTAAAAGTGTGTCCCAATTTTGGACACAAATTCATGCAGAATATCCTTCCGTTTTCAGCAGCAATGCAAAATTTGCTGCCTTTTGCTAGTACATACGTGAATTTGTGTGAAAAAGGGTTCTCAACTATAGTGGATATAAAAACAAAAAAAACACAATCCATTGCAATTAGATGCCTGCATGCAAATAGCATTATAAACAATTTTTGAACCAAGAATTAACAAATTAGTTGAGGATATTCAGCAGCAGAAATTAAATTAAATTATTTTTAAATATAAATAAAATTATTAAATTAAATTATTTTTGAATATTTCTTTTTTTCTATGAATTTTTAAACATTTAGTTTCTTATTTTATTTTTTGTTAAAAATTAATGAGATTTTATGTTTAATTGTGAAGTTTATTATTCATTATCTATTTAAATAACATTCAAAGTTATGTTTTACATTTATTATATAAAAAAATAAAGCAAAATAAAAAATCAATTTATTATAGATAATTTAACAAATAAAAATTATTATTAAAAAAATGGGGGGTCACAAAAAGTTATAAAATATTTGGTGGGCTGCAAGTATAAAAAGGTCACTGCTCTAGAGGACGCATCCAAAATGTGCCACGTTGCCGACACCCAATTTACTAGATTGTAAAGGTTTTGATCAGTGTACTTAATTATCAATTCTATTATCGGAAATAAGTCAATTTCATTCATATTTTTTACTGTCTATTAATTAATATATTTAGAGAATAAATCTGATTTATATGAAAATATTAAGAAAAAAATTGTTAAAAACCAGTGTTAGCATAAGTATGATTTTGGAACAATACTATATGCAAATAACTTTTTCTTCTCTAGTAAAATATTCTAATGCTTTAATAAATACTCCCTGAAAATTTAAAACTTAAAATAAATTGACTATGCAAGTGACAAAATTGTAAAATTTAAGTAATTTCCCATTTTGAACTGAGATTTAAAAATGACTTTATTCTGCTATCAGATTTTGAATCATGAATAAATTTTTTATTAGCATAAATAATGTAAATTAGATTGATTTAGGTAAGGGCAATGTTTGATGAATGGAGTAAACCAGTACAAATGGCACCACCTGGAACACCGGTACAAATTATGGGCTGGAGAGAGTTGCCAAATGCTGGTGACGAGATACTGGAAATTGAATCTGAAGTAATTCGTTTGGTTTATTTTGGTATTTTAATTGTTGCATTTCACAAAATTTTTAAAGTTATTCTTTTAATAGCAAAGAGCACGAGAAGTTTTAAGATTTAGAGAAAATCAAAAGGCATTGGAAAAACAAAAGAGCGATGCAGTGGTGATTCAACAAAAATTAGAAGAGCATTTACAGAAATATAAAGCCGAACTAAAACGACGACGAGAGGAAGGGCGGTTTCGCAGAATCCCGACTGTTATTCGTCCGAAAGAATACCAAGAAATGTATAATGGTCCAAAATTATCAGTTATTATTAAAGGTGATGTAATGTCATACATTTTAAATTTTGTCTGCCATTTACTTAACCACTGTTCCTAGTTTAAAATGATTATTTGATTTTTAGGTGATGTAGATGGATCAGTAGAAGCTATTTTAGATCTATTAGAAACATATAATGATAATGATAGGTGTTATTTGGATCTGATCAGTTACAGTGTTGGTAGTGTAACCGAGAATGACGTAGAACTTGCAAAAGTTTTTAATGGTAATTAGTGTTAAGTTTTATTGATTCTTATCTACATTATAAATACAGTAGAGCATCGATTATCCAATCAGTTGGGGACTGGGTTTGTTCGGAAAATCAATTTTTCGAATAACTGATTATGTACGAAAAAATATATTAACCTATCCCATGTTGAAATTCGTTCAAATCCTGGCACATCCTTAAGTACCCTCTCATGGTCATGCCAATGCTGCCAGCTAAAACACATACCAACAAAAATAATATTGGAGTAACCCAAGACATAGCCAAAGATTGCAGCGCCACAGCACTAGCAAAAATTTAAATTTGCTGACTGGAACAAGGTCTATATAAGAAGGTCAGGACACGTGTGACCTACTTCTCAAGCCTCCATTTTGGGGTTTTTTGAGTCGCATGTTTTAAGCAAACTCGTACGAGCAGTCAGTTTTATACGACATTAATTAAACTAAAATTGCATAAATCCAGTGATTTCCAGTCAAAAATATAATAATTTCGGACGATTACGCAATCCCAATTTTATGTAACGTTTTCATCAAATAGTTTAAAAGAAACAATCATCCGTATCATTTGCCGTCGCAATTGAAATTAATTAAATAGGCGCTAAAACTGATGCAATTACGTATATAGGCACTTCGTAAAGCGATGCAATAACACCAAAAAAAAATTTTAAGTATAATAAAGAATATAATAATACAGTATAATGTAACAAATTTATAATTATTTTTTTAAAGCACGATTGGTTGTAAAATTAAGACGAAATTCAATAGTATTATTGATAAACGTTGTCAACGTAATGCTCATTTTATAATAAGTAATAGATGTGTAGATATATTTTAAATTTATAAATAGCTCACAAAAAATTCCAAAAATAAAATTTTAAATTAAATTATTTGACAATAAACTGACAAATAATACTTGAATAGAATACAACGTATTGAAACAAAATATGAATATTTGTTGCCATAGCAAAATAATGCTAAAATTTTCTTTTTTACAATTAAATAGTCAATTTTATTTTAATTAAATAAGACAAAAAATATCAATTTAATGTTGCTTACGCATAATTTTTTTGTACATGTTCTGCGTTAATAATAATAATTTAAAGTTTACTACTAAAAACTACTGTAAAAATATTAAGTCTTTTGCATTATATTTGATATATTTAAATGCAAGAAAAATATTAAATCATTACGCTTTAAATCCATGCTAGAAAAATGTATCAAATGTGCAATTCGGCTAAGTTATTTTTACACGTATTCTGAAAATGGATGTACGAACACGCGAGCATTTTAAACGCATCCGATCCTTACATTTTTTCTGGAGAGAAAAAACAATTTATCTTATTCAAATAGAATCTGTTTTTAAATGTTCGGGATAAAAGATACGAATGATCGGTGGCAAATAATTATTGATATGCGAATGAAAAAATTAAATATAAATAAAATCAATTAAATATTATAGAATCTCTAGATTATAAGAATTAGATATATTTAGATTTCCGTCACTTCTTTTAAAATAAAAATTTTAACAATAAAATTAATGTAAATTTTATTTAAACGAATTAAGTATAAATTACTATTGAACTAAATTTTTTGCAACGTTTTATTAATAAATATTGAGAGCATAAGTCGATACCGTCATCGTCATCATTTTATTTTTAAATACCATGTGATCGTATTAAAACAGTTATATGTTTAATTATTTTGTCATCAGATAGAAAAATGAAAAAATTACATTTGTTTTATATCTGGATTGCCAATATCATTAATAAATTTCCATGAATAGTTTGTTCGTGGACGTGAAGAGTATCCACTCGTTTAAACCAGTTGTTACAAACTTTACACATATAAACTCTTTGAACTGCATCGTGAACCATCCGTTGATGTCTATGCTACATTTTGCTTTCCTCTGCTCATTTGCGGGAAATCTAAACAATCGAACGTCTGTACATTTACTTTTGCAATTTGGTGCCACGCAATAACCCGTTGTTTAAAGGTTTGAATACTTATATATGTAATAATAGTCGACTCACGCGGGAGCTACATGTGGAATGTATCAATAGTCTATCCATAAGTCCCAAAATGGCCGCTGCCGCGTAGAATCACGGGAGCGTGTCCTGACCTTCTTATATAGACCTTGGACTGGAAAGCTTTCGGTTGATCGATATTTGGATAATCGATGCTCTACTGTATTGCAGTTACCTCAGTAATTGTAAATGATTTTATTTGAAAAAAATTCTTAATATTTAAACATTTAGGAATAATTTATGGCTTTAATGTAACAATTCCCAATTCAATCCATGCTCTGAAGAAAAAAGAAAATGTCGTAATAAAGGAATTTAAAGTTATTTACCATCTTTTCAATGACATAAAAGAGGAAATCAACACTCGATTACCACTTGTGGACAAAGAAGAAGTGTTAGGTACATTATATTTTTTCATTTTAAAAGAAAATATGTATTTTATTAAATAATTGCTATCCATATACATCTGTCACAATGTTTACAGATAATAATAATGTCTTTGGGTTTGAATTTTTTGTTATTAATATAATATAATAATAATTTCCTATCCTTGCTTTGTCATCAATTCCATCATCACATCTTTTATTAAAATGTAATAATGAAAAATTTCAGTTTTAAAAATTAAAAAAAAAATAAGTTTTAATTAAAAAGTTTATATCAGATATCCATATAAATAACATCATTTTTGAAACAAATAAAAATGCTTGTATTTTTTGTTTAAAATAATTTTATTCATCAGAATATTCATCTTCACATTCAATTACACTTTCCCAATAGGAGGACAGTTTGAAGATACTATTTTTAGCATTAAAAAATTGAGTCACTTCCTCTTTTGTAATTGCATGATTTGTAAATTGTGTTCCATGGATATGGTAATCCAGCATAGACAAGTCGGCAGAATAGTAAAGATGAAATAGAAGTTCTCATCCTGATAGCATTATTTTGTTTCTTGTAATTTCTGCAGCATGTGGGTGAGTGCTATCTTGTGTAAAACAAGAACATCTCAACAGTTTTCTAAAGATGGCTGTTTTAGTCTTAATTTGTCATGTACAGCACTCTTTGTAGCTGCTCACTGTACAAATCTGTGGTTTGACCAGCATTCAAATATGAACAACAAACAAACAAGTCTGCTAAACACAAAAGATGATTTTTTGGGATTCATTCAAATCATTTATAAAAATGGTATTTTCAAACTGCCCTCCTGTTGAGAATGTAATTGAATGTTAAAGTGAATATTTTAATGAATAAAATTATTTTAAACAAAAATACAATCATTTTTATTCATTAAATCATATGCCTCTGTGTCCTTATAGTATAGTAATAAAATAAGTCCAAGTAGACATTTTAAATAACAGGACATATTATACCGACTTCTTTGTTCAGCAAAAGTTAAGAAAGTCTATCAGAGAAAACAAAAAGTCTGAGTAGACATTTTAAATACTATACCATTTATTTGGTTATCTGATATATTCCAACTAAAATCTTCTCGTGTGAATACTGGAATTTATATGTTTCATATAAATTAAAACTCCAAAACCTTTAAACGTCCAGTAGTAATCAATTTAATAATAAACAAACGTTTTCGACTGTACTCTGTCTTCATCAGGTTTAAAATCAGTTAGATTCAAACCTGTGCAAGCGTAGAACAATGATTATGAAATTAATTTTGAAAAATGGAACAGCACAAACGGATTTTAAAAGAATACAGTTATGCATGTGCATTGCCACGGCGACGGAATGGCATATGTAATACATATGATTATATAAATATATATAAATAAATACACCAAACGGGGATGTGGTCTTTAATTGCTGGAGTGGACGTCGCCCGTTACCTCATAGCAGTATTTCCAAGCGTGGGACACATTGACCGCATCATTAGCGTTAATGCAATTGGTGCGTAACCCGGCTTTGTAAATTTCCAGTGCCTCCAGATATCGTAGGTGTTCACCTGGTGAGAAAGTTTGATCAGTTTGGCCTCATGTAGGTCAGCTCTTATGCCGGGTTCAGTGGCATATGTTGATAGGGCGGTGGTGTGCCTTTTATTAATGATGTCGTATTCCAGTATGATTTAGTCTTGACCACAACCGATATACCGGTGAATAGTTTAATAAGCTGTTACTAAAATGTCTAGCAATTAACAAGATGGCAACAAATTGCACTATATTGGCATTTGCAGACTTAATACAGATGAGTAGTAAAAATGGTGTTAATAATATAACCATAGAGACAGCCATATTCACTGCCAGATGAGTGCAATATGCATTAGTTGCTGCACTGTTTTATGCATACTGGAACGTACCCAATGTTAGTACAGTAGCTTCAGTTTGTCTGATATGTAAATTGTGTTAAAGTTAGCAATTTTTGTAATGTCTCACTCTGTTAAAATCTGCAAATTGTTTTTGAAACAATGAAATTCTTTCTTTAGAGTGCAGAATACAACAAGAAACATGAACTTAATATTGGCAGTAATCTGTGATTCAATTAGCAATACATCATTTGGGAAACACTATGGAATTAAAAACACAATTATTTTTCTTTCTAACCAAATAGATTTTGTCTTTCTAATTTACCCCATTAAAGTTTAGAAACAAAAATCTTATCATTTAGGAGAAGCCACAGTTTTGCAAGAATTTATGGTAACATTAGTGGGAAGGAAGAAAGTACCTGTGGCAGGATGTTTATGCAATAAAGGTATCCTAAAGAAGGAAGCCAATTATCGTCTTATAAGAGGAACCAAAGTCATACATGAAGGTTTGCGATTTAGTTTGTTATTAATTTTTAAAACTTAAAAGGAAATAATTTAAAAAATATTTTTAGGAAAACTTGGCAGTCTCAGGCATCAAAAAGATGAAGTCAAAAGTATCAAGAAGGACGTAGAGTGTGGAATACGATTAGAAAATCCAGATGTTCGGTTCCAGGCCGGTGATACATTTATCTGTTACGAAATATTAAAAGTGGAACAGAAAATTGATTGGGATCCTGGATTCTAGTGATAGAATAAAAGTATTTTATATATAAGAAGTTTTTATTCTATCTGTACATTCAACATTTAAGCTTTTATAATCATTCATTCTAATCCTCGTACACTCTGATATAAAATAATTTGTATATAAATGTATTCATTGAGAATTAGATTTTAGATTATATACAGAAACGTTCTTGTGCTCGTCTAATTTTTTCGCCACACCACTCGAAATGTGTCCCTGCAAAACTTTTCGAGAGAGTCTCATTTGACCATTTACTGGATCTCTTCCAAAATATTTCACATTAATTTCTTGGCCCACTTCCAAATCCAAGGCACTTGGGTGGTTTATCTGAAATTTAAATCATTTACTAGTTTATTCAATTTGTATATAGAGCTTTTAAGACTAAATTAATAGTTTCTACCTTTCTTTGATCTAGCTGAGAATTGTGAAGAAGAGTTGGTGTCATAGAAGAATATAGGGTAACCATTACACCAGAATCCCTACATTATTTTTAATTAATCCTTTCATGTAAGCCAATTGAATTATTATATAAAATATTTTATGCAAACCTGATTTCCACTATTTTTGCTGTATATATTGCTCCAAATTCTAAGGTAGGTTCCTTCTGCAAAAGTTTTTTTTTTCAAGTTGCAACATATAAAATAATTTATAACTTCTCAATTGCTACAAACCTCCTCTTCTAAGAACTTCTCAATCATTTCGCGACCTTCATCCATGGCTTGTTGGTTCGGAGCAAAAATAGTATAGTTTGCATCGTCAATCTGCGTGACACGAACACCTGGAAATAATCATTTTAAAAGCTGCTGTTTCATTGTTTCATTTTTTTTATTGTTAATGTCTTACCTGTTTCTGATGTTAGTTTCTTTAAATTGTATCCACCATGACCAATAAATTTTGATCTTTTATGAATAGGAATTTCTAGCTTTTCTATAAAGGAAAAAATCTTTTTATTCTTTTGTAAAGTGAATATAAATTTTATTATCTGATAAAATTACATATCCATCAATTGATATTAACAATTAATCTACATGAAAGTAAAACATGACAACACTTAAAATTATCATCATTTATTCGGACTTCCTTAGGGAGGATGCAGATGCAGCAATCCACTTAGATTTCGGTATTCAATATGGCAGACGATACTGCTGCTGCCATTATCCTCGTGTTTACAAATTTCATTTTGTATTACTTCCTATAAAGAAGATTCCATCAAAGATTTTGGATTAGAGATATTTTCTCAGATCAAGAAAGAACCAGTGTGCAAAATACACTTATACTTGCTCGTGATCTCTTGAGAAAAAATACTATGAGTAAGATTTGTTTGCTTTGTCCTTTGAATGAATTTGTGTTAAATTTATTATCCTCTCCTCTTTTTATTCTGATATCAGATATCTGACTTGCAAGAATTTATGGTAACATTATTCTGCCATTAAAACACCACACAATTCTATGTTCTTATGTGACTGCAAAACAAATTGTGGTAGAAGTTTATCTAGGTAGTCCTAATGGCTGCACTTCCGGTTGCCTTCTTGTTTGTGAACATGCACGCACAAACAAGATGGCGACCATTGAACTTACCAATACATGCTTAATTTTATTTCAACTAAAATCTGTTTAAAAATTAAATATGCTACTCACTTTTTCCATACTTTTATTTCGTTTTCCTGTTTTTTTTTTTTTTTTTTTGCATGAGAACATGATTCATCTTCTGTTTTGGAACCTTCTTTCATTCTCTTATTTGACGATTTGACTATATTACTAGTAGACGTTTATTTTTTTCTTAGTTTTTGGTATTCCTTTCTTCTGTTTGCTGGTTTTCAGGGGCAGTAGGCACACTTTCTGGTTCTTTCCAAATGGGGTTTTACCTGAGCCAGGATATATCCAACTCAAATGTTTAGCAAATAACACAAAACATTCTCCAGTTTTCATTTTTTCCCATTTGAACATCTTTTTATATATGAAGGAATATAAGCATGAATCCGATAAATCCTCAGTAAAATGCATTGGCAAATTTTTTCTACTTTTTAGATTATGCCACAGACATTCAATTTTCTGAGTATGCATATCAGTTATAGGGTCCACAAAATTTTCGGCATGTTTTAGTCTTATGCACAATTTCAATACCTTCTAAATCGTCTATGTGATTACACCCCTTCCACTCATCCACATTTACAGTGCTTCCTGAATTTACATATTTTGAAATTACCCAATTAAGTGTGTTCACTTCTGTCATTCACTTTGCATACAAAGCATGTGTTGTCTTCACAAAAAACACCTCCAACTACCCGACGAGTATCCTTCAAGTTACATCCCTTCTCAATTTCCTTTTGGAAATTATACTTTCTATCAATTTCAACTATTTTTTCCTATTTAGGACTACCTATTTTCAATTCATGATGATTTCTGTAAGTAATATGTCAAACGAGCCTTATGTAATTCGCCCAATCCATGGCAGTGTGTTTACTAATGCCTACAGCCAAACACTCAATACATAACAAATGCCAAATAAAGGAAAATATATCTTCCCGAATTTTCCTTTGAATGTCCTGTCAAATGCCAAACTGTTCATTTACAATGCTACAGAATTACGCTCTTTTCTGTAAATTAATTTCCAGTGAAACAAGCAATTAGTACAAATATCATCTGTGTTGCAGATCAAGTTGGATAGCTAATTTAATGTCTGAATACATTCTTTTATCAACTTCTAAATGAGCAAATTTGGATTCTAACATGCAAAAGAAAACTCTCAAATTACACTTTTTCCAAAAGTCTTTGGACAATTTCACTCCCTCTGACATTATTTTGTTAAATGAATATTAATAATTTCTAGGTTTGTTACAATTTAACTTCAAACAAAAAAAAAAAAAAAACACAAACTTTCAAATAAAATTAACGCTGTACCTTCTGTTAAGATTAATCTGAAACTCAAAAATTTGCATACTTCTTCTTTGGGGGAAGTTGGACACTATTTGCATAGTAATATGTCAGTATGATAAGCACTATTTAGATCAGATTTCAAATCCTGCCTGTTGTCAAGATTCTGGAATCGTGGACATTGGGACTACCTAAGTAAACTTCTACCAAATTGTAATTGGCTGATAAAAATACATTTTGGCAGCAGCCACCACAAAAGGTATAATTCGGCCACACGTATGCATCCACTCTTATAGTAAGAGTGGATGCATCACATTGCATTCTTGCATCACACCAGTATAATAAGTCCTTAAATAAAGTAAGTTTCTTGTGAACTTTTTTAGAATAGATAAACCAAATATCCATATAGTGTTTTCAGAAATATTTTAAACAAAATGATGTAGGTTATTATCATAANAACTATGTAAAAGACAGTGAGATTAAAAATCTTAAATTGTCTTATATTTAAATTAGTGAGGAAAAAATATAGATTTTTATGGTTATTTCTTCATAAGCATTTTTTGACTAAATATATCACATTAATATTTTAACATCAACAAATATATGTATAAAATAAAATGTTTGCTGGATATATATTAAGTGATGTATAAGGAATATAATTCAACAGTTCATTTTTATATATATTGATTATTAAAAATGGGGGGTCACAAAAAGTTATAAAATATTTGGTGGGCTGCAAGTATAAAAAGGTCACTGCTCTAGAGGATGCATCCAAAATGTGCCACGTTGCCGACACCCAATTTACTAGATTGTAAAGGTTTTGATCAGTGTACTTAATTATCAATTCTATTATCGGAAATAAGTCAATTTCATTCATATTTTTTACTGTCTATTAATTAATATATTTAGAGAATAAATCTGATTTATATGAAAATATTAAGAAAAAAATTGTTAAAAACCAGTGTTAGCATAAGTATGATTTTGGAACAATACTATATGCAAATAACTTTTTCTTCTCTAGTAAAATATTCTAATGCTTTAATAAATACTCCCTGAAAATTTAAAACTTAAAATAAATTGACTATGCAAGTGACAAAATTGTAAAATTTAAGTAATTTCCCATTTTGAACTGAGATTTAAAAATGACTTTATTCTGCTATCAGATTTTGAATCATGAATAAATTTTTTATTAGCATAAATAATGTAAATTAGATTGATTTAGGTAAGGGCAATGTTTGATGAATGGAGTAAACCAGTACAAATGGCACCACCTGGAACACCGGTACAAATTATGGGATGGAGAGAGTTGCCAAATGCTGGTGACGAGATACTGGAAATTGAATCTGAAGTAATTCGTTTGGTTTATTTTGGTATTTTAATTGTTGCATTTCACAAAATTTTTAAAGTTATTCTTTTAATAGCAAAGAGCACGAGAAGTTTTAAGATTTAGAGAAAATCAAAAGGCACTGGAAAAACAAAAGAGCGATGCAGTGGTGATTCAACAAAAATTAGAAGAGCATTTACAGAAATATAAAGCCGAACTAAAACGACGACGAGAGGAAGGGCGGTTTCGCAGAATCCCGACTGTTATTCGTCCGAAAGAATACCAAGAAATGTATAATGGTCCAAAATTATCAGTTATTATTAAAGGTGATGTAATGTCATACATTTTAAATTTTGTCTGCCATTTACTTAACCACTGTTCCTAGTTTAAAATGATTATTTGATTTTTAGGTGATGTAGATGGATCAGTAGAAGCTATTTTAGATCTATTAGAAACATATAATGATAATGATAGGTGTTATTTGGATCTGATCAGTTACAGTGTTGGTAGTGTAACCGAGAATGACGTAGAACTTGCAAAAGTTTTTAATGGTAATTAGTGTTAAGTTTTATTGATTCTTATCTACATTATAAATACAGTAGAGCATCGATTATCCAATCAGTTGGGGACTGGGTTTGTTCGGAAAATCAATTTTTCGAATAACTGATTATGTACGAAAAAATATATTAACCTATCCCATGTTGAAATTCGTTCAAATCCTGGCACATCCTTAAGTACCCTCTCATGGTCATGCCAATGCTGCCAGCTAAAACACATACCAACAAAAATAATATTGGAGTAACCCAAGACATAGCCAAAGATTGCAGCGCCACAGCACTAGCAAAAATTTAAATTTGCTGACTGGAACAAGGTCTATATAAGAAGGTCAGGACACGTGTGACCTACTTCTCAAGCCTCCATTTTCGGGTTTTTCGAGTCGCATGTTTTAAGCAAACTCGTACGAGCAGTCAGTTTTATACGACATTAATTAAACTAAAATTGCATAAATCCAGTGATTTCCAGTCAAAAATATAATAATTTCGGACGATTACGCAATCCCAATTTTATGTAACGTTTTCATCAAATAGTTTAAAAGAAACAATCATCCGTATCATTTGCCGTCGCAATTGAAATTAATTAAATAGGCGCTAAAACTGATGCAATTACGTATATAGGCACTTCGTAAAGCGATGCAATAACACCAAAAAAAAATTTTAAGTATAATAAAGAATATAATAATACAGTATAATGTAACAAATTTATAATTATTTTTTTAAAGCACGATTGGTTGTAAAATTAAGACGAAATTCAATAGTATTATTGATAAACGTTGTCAACGTAATGCTCATTTTATAATAAGTAATAGATGTGTAGATATATTTTAAATTTATAAATAGCTCATAAAAAATTCCAAAAATAAAATTTTAAATTAAATTATTTGACAATAAACTGACAAATAATACTTGAATAGAATACAACGTATTGAAACAAAATATGAATATTTGTTGCCATAGCAAAATAATGCTAAAATTTTCTTTTTTACGATTAAATAGTCAATTTTATTTTAATTAAATAAGACAAAAAATATCAATTTAATGTTGTTCGCGCATAATTTTTTGTACATGTTCTGCGTTAATAATAAAATTTAAAGTTTACTACTAAAAACTACTGTAAAAATATTAAATCTTTTGCATTAAATTTGATATATTTAAATGCGAGAAAAATATTA